TTATTTGGCTAATGGACCAATAGCCCACTAATCAGAATATCTCCATAACAAATTCTTGAAATGATCCATAAATAAAATATGTGATTATATCATACCGTTATTAAAATTAAACCTAGATCTCTGACAAGGGGCTATTACAGAGTCAAAAGAATCTTCACAACGAGACGTTTTTTAAGCGTCAAACTAATGTGATTTATGCACTAACAATTGTCACCTGGCTTCTTAGGAGAAATTTTAACATGCACTTGTTAATCTGTATATTTTCTAGACAGATGCAGACCCATCCATACTTTAGGCTGTTGTTATTCTGAACACAATAACATTCTTAATGGAGAAAAACTAATATGTCTGGGATTTCCTTTGCAGRTGGTTTTAATAATATGCCAGAAGTAGCTGAGAGATGCTATATAAATATTTGATTTGACTAGAAGAGCAAGATTTACATATATATATATATATATAATATATATATATATAGCCATGGTGCCTAGTCCTTATTTATAAGGGGAAAATCTTCCACCTTGTTTTGTGAAATGAATAGCTTATTGAGCAAGCTYTCCTGGGATCCTCGTAAGGAGATATGCTTTGATCAGAAAGCCCTTGGTCAGGACGGCAAAGGGAGCTGATGGACGAGGGAGTGAAGGGAGCTGATGGAAGTCTCCTTAGAGAGTATCTTCAGGAAAGTGTCTTCTTGCAGAGGCTGGGAAAGACTCCTCAAAACACCTATGTTGGTACCTTTTATCTGCACCAGAGGTGCCGTGTACCTCACTGGCTAGTCAATCGAGTCAAAGTTTTGATGTATCCTTGCACTGACACAGTCCTTCACCCATGCTCATTAGCTTGGGTTAGACTCTGGTTAATGACTGGTTAAACACCATATGTGAACTAGAGTTTTTCCCCTAGAAACAAGTTACAGGAGAGTTCATACAGGAAGGTCATATAGATACCTACATGGGTGCCACACCAGGAGGAAGGAGCCCACCACTTTGAAAGCTGTTCCCTGCTGACCACCCCATGCTGAGCCACAAAGCACTTTCGATCCTTGGTTTCCGTGGTAAGAATGGCCTGTCGGCTTCAGAAAGTTTATGGCAGAGATTTATTGATAATAGTTTATTCTGTATTTCTAATTCATGGCCTTCCAAAAACAAAACAAAAAAMCCTATATATTTTGAAACATGCATTGGAAGAAAAAGAAACCTTTTGTTTATTACTCAAAATTTTATGAGATATATTCTCACAGAGAAATTCTTGCAAGAGTAAATAATGGAGCAAATTTTTCAAATTTTAGTAGAGTAATGGAGCAAATTTTTCAAAAGGGATTTTTTTTTCTCAACTGTTCTCATAGCCTTTGATATGATAAACCTTTCCCAAACCCTCCAAAGCATTTTCCTCCTACTCCAGTCTGCCTTGGTTTCAGGGACTTTTAAATTTTTATATGCAATTAACCTTACTAAGTAAAATTTAAATGCTTGGTAATGCCAGTAGCTACAGTGCAGGATATGAAAGCAAGAGAACTCTGCAAACAGGGGTTCTATCACCCTCTTTAATTTTGTTTTCTTGCAACAGTTAAACTGTTTTGTTTCCTGAAGGAAAAAGCGTTAAATCTAGCACTGATTTTACTGTTTTGCCAGTAGCACTTGGGTTTGCAACAACTCTGGTTATATTCTCACTGCAATTTCCTTTTATCTACTGATGTAGTATGGTAGGGTTTGACACCTTTTTAGACATGAAAAGACTTTATCTTGTCTCAGATAGCAGCTCTATTTATCACTTGCTCCAACACATTTTCTAAGTTTCTTCCTCAATTTAATAGCATGTCGCCATGCAGAGCCAATCCTCAAAGTTCTGTTAAATAATTTCCTCAATGGGGGATTTTTTTCCCTCTTATGTCTCAGGAAAAGCTTTTCCCTAGTTCATCAGTTCTATTAATAAAGTAAAAATGCAAAATGCAAAAAAAAAATAGTGTCTCCAATAAATATTTCCTTAACTTTTATTCAATAAAAGTCATGGAAAAGCTTCTTAGCTTGATGGAGGAACAACTGTAGGAATTGCTGAGAATTTTTGCATTGCATTTGTTGTAGCATTTTATAATAACTTATGTATATATTCCATGCAATCAGTACACGGTTAACTTCCTGGTAGAGTCCTCATGGTCTTGAAACAGGGAGGGAGCTGAAGCACCGCATGATGAGGGACAGATAAATATTTTCCTCTGTTAAGCTATGCTATTTAAATTGGCTATGTCTAATTAGATGTGGCTCTCATRTTTAAAATTGGTTTTATCTGTAGGAACAATGTTAATACTGGCAAGGACACCCCACTCCTGTGGTCAGTACCTTTGCAAGGAATCCTAATGGCAACATCAGGGTGAGTGTTAGATTTGTCAATGTACTTGGACTGATAAGAGTAGCACCATAGGGACGAAGGAAAAACAAAAAACAACAACAAACAAACAAAAAAA